TCTGGAGTGTCTTCTCGAGCGACGGGAGAGGGAAAACGTCGAGGGGGACCCGAGAACGGAAAGATACGCTTATCAGCGTCACGTTCAGCGTGGGCTACTATCTGTGCTGCACCTACGACGATACCGCGTCCGCGTACAGATATCGTCGCGGCGAGGATTGCGTTTCGTGGTTCGTGAACGAGCTTCGCGTTCTCGCAAGTCGCGTTAAGAATAAATTTTCCACCAATGTAGCGATGGTGGAACTCACGGAGGACAAGAAAAGCGAATTTCTGCTCGCGACTTATTGTCACGTGTGCGAGAAACCGTTTCAACCGGAGAACAATCGCGTGCGGGATCATTGTCACCTAACCGGACGTTACAGAGGTCCGGCGCATTCTGAATTATAGAAACGTTTACGTGATTCCCGTGTTCTTTCACAATTTGTCGGGTTATGACGCGCACTTCGTCGTCGAGAAAATCACGAACGATTTCGAGGGCGGGGTCGATCTGCTGCCGCTCACGAAGGAAAGCTACATATCTTTCTCGAAGACCGTTAAGGAGACGCAGACGGACGGGAAATGGGATTGGTACGTGAAGCTTCGATTCGTGGACTCGTATAAATTTTTAGAGGCGAGTATCGAAACCCTGGCGTCCTATCTGAACAGGGACAAGCTGAGAATCACGCGTTTGGAGTACGCGGATTTGAGCGCGGAGGATCTCGATCTGCTCACTCGCAAGGGTGTGTTTCCGTACGAGTACGTCGACGGCGCGGACAAACTGCGGGATACCGAGCTTCCGTCGCGCGAGGCCTTTTACAGCTCCCTGACCGACGAGACCGCGAGCGAGAGCGACTACGAGCACGCGACGAGGGTCTGGCGACATTTTCGCGTGCGAGATCTTGGCGAGTACAGCGATCTGTATCTCAAGACCGACGTGCTTCTTCTGGCGGATATATTTGAAAATTTTCGGGACGCGTGTTCGGCGAGTTACGGGCTCGATCCCGCGCATTACTACACGTTGCCGGGGTACACGTGGGACGCCATGCTGAGGTACACCGGCGTGCGTTTCGAGCTGCTCACCGACATCGACATGGTGCTGTTCGTGGAACGCGGAATACGCGGCGGCCTCTGTCAATGTTCGCTCAGATACGCGCGAGCCAATAACAGGCACGTACCGACGCACGACTCGTCCCAGCCCACTACGTATCTCATGTATTACGACGTGAACAATCTGTACGGCTGGGCTATGAGCGAATCGTTGCCCTACGCGAATTTCCAGTGGCTCGACGATCCTGAGAATTTCGACGCGACGACCGTGCCGACGGACAGCGACGTCGGTTACATTTTGGAGGTGGATCTCGAGTACCCGCGAGACCTGCACGACGCCCACGCGGATCTGCCGTTGTGCCCGACGCGCGACAAATCGCCCGGCAAGCGACAGGAAAAATTGCTCGCCACTCTCTACGACAAATCGCGTTACGTGACGCACTATCGAAACCTGCAGCAATGTCTGCGACTAGGTATGCGTTTGACGCGCGTTCGTCGCGTTCTACGATTCGCCCAGTCGCCGTGGCTTCGCGTCTACATCGAGCTGAACACCGCGCTTAGGACGCGCGCGAGCAACGATTTCGAACAGAATTTGTACAAACTGATGAACAACGCCGTCTTTGGCAAGACTATGAAGAACGTGCGCGATCACGTGGACGTGCGTCTCGTGACGCGATGGGACGGGAGATACGGCGCGGAGGCGTTGATCGCTAAGCCGAACTTTCACAGCAGGAGCGTCTTTTCGGAGAATCTGGTGGTGATCGAGCTGCGAAGGCTCGAGGTAAAATTCAACAAGCCGATCTACGTGGGTATGTCTATTCTCGAGATATCCAAGACGCGTCTCTACGAGTTTCACTACGACTACATGGTGCCGCTCTATCGCGACCGTTGTCGAATTGCCTACACGGATACGGACAATCTGATCTATTCGCTGGAGTGCGAAGACGTGTACGAGCTTATGAAACGCGACGTGCACAGGTTCGACACGAGCGATTACG